GCGAAGAGCTTGCGGATATTCTCCTCACTCGCGCCGACATACTTGTTCAAGATTTCGGGGCCATTGACGATTTTTGGCTCCCGCGCGTTCAGCATCTTGCCGATTTGCCGAGCCATGAGCGTTTTGCCAGTTCCGGGCGGGCCGTACAGGAGGATACCTTTGACGTGTTGGATGCCCATTCTCTCGACAAGCCCGGGAGGGAAAACACGACTGGCGAACGCTCGACGGAAAATGGCACCGAATTCGGCATCGAGACCACCGATACCCATGTCCTCGAACTTGAAGTTGGGCGCAAGGATCGCGTTTGGTGCGGCTCTGCGAGTACTGTCAATACGAGCACCACGGGAGCATTGGCGTCTGCACGTACTTCTTTGCAGAGGCCCTAATCTTGATGGCACTGTCCGGGGCCTTCATAATTCCGATATCCGTTTGCTCAATAAGGATGCCGAAATGCAACGCGGCCGCCGGTACAGAGGCGCCCCTCTTCCGCTGTCCCTTCTGAGGTTGCAGAGAGCCCAGATCGACAACATGGAGTCCCTTGACCCAGAGCTTCAGAAGGTGGCCATGGTAGTCCCAGACCAGGATCTGGCCAGCGGAGAGGATGAGGCCGTTGAAAGCCTATGTTGCGGTTAGCAGTGCTTTGCCGGGGGTACGTAATGATATGCACCCGAAAGAAAGCCTTTGTCATGTCATCCGCATCGAACTGCTCTTGTATATCCCTCCGCTTCGATTGGTTGAACCCGACCTCGAGGTCCAGGCCGCCAAGGTAGATGCTCGGGCCAAGTTCGTCAGGGTTGAGCGGCTCCAGCTCCACCTCGTCGCCCTGCGCTGAAAGGCCCATCCACTGTCGCTGCACGGCAGAGCATCCTACTTGTCCAGGTCGAATCTTTCCAGTATCGTCGTGACTAGGAACTATTAGCACCCGAGCTGACAGGAGGCGTGACAATGAACTCACCGCAGCTTGACTGGAAACTGCCGTTTCATGTATGCGTACTGGATGCCATGCCACTCCTGTGGGTTGACAATAACGCAGTTTGACAGGGCCATCTCGTCATTCGGGGCTCCCACCACCAGCGCCCTGCAACGCGGTCATAAGCGCTTCACCAACGCATACTGATATGCTGACGAACCTTCCTCTTCCTGTTGCGCTCATCACGGGAGCACTCCGCTGGTCATACCCTGCGGGTGGATGGGCATACGGAGCTTCATATTGCTTTTCCCTGCCAGTGGCCGGGCCAGCTAGGGCAGCGGACGAAGGATGGGGCGAGACTCCATAGGGAGGGCTGCGCTGCGCACCCTGGTCGGGCACATACTGGTAAGGCTGCCCGCTCTGGCGGGATGATCGACCACCACCCCACATATCGGTTCAAGTTGTCTTGGAAGGGGTTCTTGGGGACGCGAAGGTATCGACAAGAGTGTTATACAAGAAGAGGTGATGGTTAGGTGATAGGCGCTCGATGGAGGAGGCGTGGTTACGACGTGTGCGACGTTGCGGTGCGCGGCGGTGACAGTGCGCGACCCAGCGTGGTAGAAGTGGCTGTGCTCATGGGGTAACGGAGGCAATTCTTTCGTGAACGGAGGCAATTCTTTCGTGAAAGGGGCCTTCATCGAAAAAAGTCGTGCTCGCAGCCAAAATCGCAAGCACGCATAACAGCCGTTGAGCGCTCATTCTATAACGCGTCTCTTGCCTCTCCTCGTGCTGTGCCAGTCAGTATGGCGTCTGGAGACTCGATTATCATATTTTCCGAGGGAACTTTCCAGGAGCAGGTACGTGTGCATGGTCGCGTGCAAATTGCAGATCGAGCCTGACAATCTGCTCTAGATCCAAGAGCTTGTGAACTACCTCGCACGCGGTCTCTCGCAAGATGACCGGATAACATACATCAAGCCATATCAAGACGTCCTTATTACCCCGGCGGGAGGCAGGCCCATCGCAGAGGATGAAGAGCGGCGACAAAAGACGGTCGAGATGGTTGTGGCCGGAGTCAAGGGGTTGGGCGAGGGGAACGAGCGCGAGCAGGAAGGCTTCTTTAACCTCCTCGTCGCGCACGTCTTTGCTCTCTGGCCGGCTACTGCACCGGAGATTCTGGTGCAAGTCGACGCTCTCGTGACGCAGATTGCTGGTGCAACAACCCAAACTCCGTTGGTCAAGTACCGCATAATATCGAACCTGTTCAACGCCGCACCGCGAAACTCCGCTGTCCGATTACACGCGTACAAGGCGTTGCTGAACGTTGCGGCGGATAACGGGGAGATTAGCTTGCTGCAAGTGCCGAAGAGCGATGTCGAGGGCTGGCTGGATGAGTGGGATGTGAGCGTGGAGCAGAAGGCGGAGCTGCTGGAGCAGATTGCAGAGGCGTTGGAAAAGTCGGGCCAGCCGTACGTCGATCCGCCTATGCTGTGGATTAACCCTAATATGCGCTGCAGAGAAGAGGCATATACCTTCCTGGTCCGGCGCTTGACCATTATTCCCGCAGCCTCTTCATCAGCCGAGCAAGCCGCACTGGCCACCATCAGCAAGGCACTCTCACTCCCCTTCGTCTACTCCTTCGACGCGATCATGGAAGCTCCTGCCGTCGCGTCGGTCAAGTCCCACCCTCTCTTCTCCCTCCTCCAAGTCTTCTGGCGCGGCGGCGTGACCGAGTGGGCCGAGTGGGAGTCCGCTTACTCAAGCACGCTCGTCGAGTTCGGCTTGGACAAGATTGCGCTGGAGCAGAAGCTGCGCCTGCTCGCACTTTCCTCCCTTTCTTCCCAATACCTCACACCCACCTCTCCCGCGGGCACATCCGACATCCCCTACACGCTGATCAGCAAGGCACTCTCTATCCCCGAGGACCTCGTCGAGCCCACTGTCATTGCGACCATCCGCGCGAATCTCGTCGCCGGCAAGCTCAGCCAGACGACAAAGAGCTTCCGTGTGTATCGCGCGGCGGTGCGGGGGTTTGAGCAGCCGGAGTGGGAGCGGCTGGAGGAGCGGGCGAACGCATGGCGGGACGGGCTGCTGGGTGTGCTCAGCGTCCTCAAGAGCAAGCGGGCGGCCGCAGCGCCAGAGAAGGGCGAGGGCAAGGTCATTGTGGAGAACGTAGGGGCGACGCTGCAGAGCGAGGGCGTTACGGTCGAGGCTGCTGCCTAGACGGGGTGCGCATGTGTAGCATATATGCAATGCTTGGGTATATGTGTGATTCCACCAAAAGTAATGATACACATTACGCATACAATCTACGCAGCGTGCCCAACGGGCCCTTTTACGCCGAGCGCGAATCCCGATACCCGTTATCGTGAGGGCGGCTTTGGTCCATCGAGCGCCTCCATGCTCCCCCAAGCGTCTTCGGCGCCCTCGTCATCCGCCTCTGCGTGCACATTGTCCCTTCCAGCATCGGCATGCCCATTCGCTGCCGCTTGGTCGTCGAACGGGTCCTCGCCCCACTCATCCTGCGCGTTCCACTCCCAGTCCGCGCTCGGCTTTGTGACATGCAGCGTGGGTACCTTGAACCCGCGTTGTGCGCTCGGGCCGGCAGTACTGTTCTCTCTTGAGATCGGACGGAGGTTGTACGACTCTAGTGTGCCGTTCGAGCTACGCCGATCGGTGGGCGGTGGCGAGCGGGATACCTTGGGCGGTCGGATGGTCGCACCGGACGAGGCGGACGTGCCGGGCGAGTCGAACTTGCCTTCTGGCAGAGTGCCATTCGCGCGCTGCGCTTCGAGATCGTCGAGGATCTTCTGTCCCGTTAACGTCGGCCCATCCTCCTCGAACTCCTGCTCCGCGCCCTCTGCCAACATCAGGGGGTCCCGCTCATCGATCGGATCCTCGGGTATGGGCACTGCCGTGGGGGCGAATGGCAGCAACTTGCTCATGACGATGCTGTCGATGAGCCAGAACTGGAGGACATTCATCGTGATCGGCACGATACCCATGACGAGGATGACCTGCAGCGCCCAATTGGAGGCCGTCCATTCCAGCATCCAGTCGCCGATGCGCGTAACCTCTGGGACGAGTGCGAAGAGGCCCAGCACGATTAGCTTCATGAACGCGAGCGCAAGTAGGTAGACAACGAGTTGTCGCAAGAAATAGGACCATTTCGGAGGGTAGCCATATTCTCCTGATACAAGCCCGGGGATTGCAAGTCGATCGGACAGGAGATTCGTGAGACCATGGAGGGCTACGTAGATGAGCCCGACACCTGCGTCCCGTCAGACTCCTACTTTGCATGTGGATGTGGGCGAGACGTACCGAGCGTAGTATCCACCAATATGTTCACCAGATACCAGGCACATGCGTTTCCCTCATCTCCATTACTGGCCCCAACCCACGAGATGACGATGTTGCTGACGTGCACGCTCGCCTGCCCTACCACCTGCTTCCCCACGTCAAACGCCCAGATCCACCATGCTCGTTTCGGTCGCTCTCTGTGCCGCTTGTACACCAGAGAGAGAAGTACGAGTGCACCCATCAGCAATTGGACCACAATGGCTGTTGGGCCGATGAGGGAACATGACGAAGGATCGAGCTCGAGGTCAAGCGATGTGGCTCGGGGAATGAACGAGTGACCAGGGCGGTCGTAGAGAGAGTTGACCATGATGAATAGGCGAGTCGAGAACGCCTAAGGACACACGCAATCACCTTGCCCAAAAGAAGATAAAAGCAAAGTGAAGAGTGGAATGACGAAAGAGATGCTGCGGGCGACAGTTGCAAGTGGAAACAGCGCCCTGTTACCTTGAAGGCGCAGCACACTTTCTCTAATTGCGGCGAGGGTCGTGCAAAATAGGATATGGCGGTCGCTCCGCTTCCGTCATGCACGAAGGGCGGCTTGAATCGTCTCGAACCATGAGAAAAAGCACAGATGCAAAGTATGTATTTGACTGACGCAGATATCAAACCTTGGGACTTTGGTAGTCCCACCATTGTTATTGGCATACACACCATTGTTATTGCCATAAAATGGATGGCAGAAGCTCCCTTAGGGATGACACTTCGCGTGACAGTGACAAAAACATACAGTTGACCGACGCAGGGATCGAACCTGCAATCTCCTGATTACACCATCGTAGTCAGACGCCTTGCCATTGGGCCAGTCGGCCGTCCGATATTGAACGTGCACTTTAAATCTACCTATCATAAATTCTTCCCCGAAACGACGTCTGGCCCAGTACACTTCACCTGTCTCTTTCGGCTACCCCCGCTCGTAGCTCATGCCAGTGGGACAAGGTGCGCGTGTCTTCACATGATGAAATTGTTGCCGGCGTCCGAAGTGATGCGAACCTATAAGCGTGTGGCCGATGGACGAGTCAAAGCATGCTGTAGCCGCAAATAACCCTTAACGAATCAAGCTGTATTACAACACAGTACACCTCCGTATAAATATCTATAAATCCAAACCTAGCGATACATCGGCCGGGCGTGTGTCGGCCGTAAAAAAGGTGGTATGCGAAAATGCGATGGCCCATGCTGTGTTTGGGCCAGAAATATTGAAGTCTAGGGTTTTTGCAGGAGCCTTGAAGAAGCAGGGGTAAATTGAGGTTTGATGTTCGTCGGAGCCTGCTCCGATTGTATGCAGTCTATTGTTTTGCCGATCGTTGATGAGGTATTGTGCGAGTTTGCTCGTCGGTCAACAGCCGTCTCGTTCGGATTCTTCGTGTGTTTGCCATCGTTCACCAGGACGAATATGGATATAGGTCGTAATATGTCGTGCCTGCCACGGATCGTGTTCCTTCTTCCAGTCCTCGAGTCCAATAATACAGTAACCTCTCGTCCAATGTCTATTTTTGCCGTGGTCGCGCCGGGGTCGTCCAAATTCCGCCGTAGCCTCTTCTATCCCTTCCCTCGGGCCCCTCCATCCAGTAGAGTTCCACAAGTCTCCAAATAGATCCTGGCCCTTGCGTGCCGACGCTAGCCACCAGACAGTAAGGGACGCAGCCCCTCAGCCTCAGGGATTAAGGGTCCGAGTCCTGCGTCAGGGACAGCATCTGGAGGAGCGGGAGGAGGTCTTGCAGCTGCGGGTATGCGATGCCCGTCCATAGAGATAATCGTCAGATCGTCGGAGGAATCCCAGTCAGAGCGGCCATAGTCGCAGAACGTCGCGCAGAGTCGTCCAAGCAAAGATCGGCAGAATGGTCGTCAGAGAGACAGGCGGCCAGCAGAGCAGAAGGAGCAAGTGCACAGCCCCGGACCCCATCAGTACCGTAAGGGACGAGCGGAAACCCGGAGCCCCGACCATATCGGACGACGCACCAAGGGAACCAAGAAGGACAGATGATCGAGAGCGAACATTCCAGTCAGGGCCGATCCAGATCCAGATCGTGGGCGTGGCGCCGAGCGTGCCGGGGGTGGCGGGTTTGGGTTTTGTTTGACGTTTGACGTTTTGGTGTGTGCCACAGTGTGCGCAGCGAATCGTCAGGTCCGCAAGGAGCGGGTTTTTGTACAAGTCAAAAATCGTATCCGTAAGAGTATCCAATCCATTGTTCGTATATAATGCGATTTGCAGCAAGCATGCACCAACAAGCATGTGCAAGAGCAGGGGAGGGGGGGGGAGGTAAAAGACAGTAAACCATACGTCAGCTACACACCCCACATTACAACCGCGAGCACCGCGAGGGAAGCACCCACCAGTGGGAGGAGACTGAGGGCTGCCGCAGGGGGGGCGGAACCGGACTGGCCCGGCGCGCCCAGTATGCCCCAGTCCCGGTAGGCGGCTTGCAGAAGGAGGACGAACGCCTCGCTCTCTGGGGACTGGGAGCCCAGGTTGGGGTAGTTGTACGGGTCCACGACTGGGCTGAGCCAGCCATCCGAGCCCAGCGCGGGGCCGTACACCAGCTGCCGCGCTTTCTCTGCTTGCGGGATGGTGCTGTACGACGCGGAGGTCGGGAGCGTCGCGAGCCGGAACGAGACAGAGGCGAGCAGCGCGGTGGATGCCGAGTCGGCGAACGAGGTGGGGTCGTCCACGTAGTTCAGCAGCGTCCCGTTGGATTGCTGTGCGCGGGTTAGCAAGCCGCATATGCACAGCAGCGCGTGGCGCACCTGGTAGGCCCATACAGCGTTGACGATCTCCTGTGCCCATCCAACCAAGTCGTTGTACTCATTCTGCATCTGCCCTCCGAACGCGCTGTAATAGATTGTCATGGCGACTCTCAAGCAGCCTGCGCTTGCCCAGCCGTTGCCCGTCGCCCAGTGCCCGTCGTCCGTCCCGCTGCCCAGGACAATATGCCGCCACAGGCCGGAGCTGTCCCGCAGCGCGTCGCGGTACAGGCTTATCTGCTGGTAGGCGGTTGCGAGGAGCGTCTGGTTCTGCGTGACCGCGCCGTAGTACGCGATGAAGGGGGGCGTCATGTAGACAAAGTCGGACCAGAGCTGGACCTGCTCTACGCGGTGCGAGATGGCCCCTGCGCTGCTCCGGGGAGCGGTGTACAGCAGGTAGTCGAGCTGCCCTGTCGCCGCTGCGCTGAAGTTACCGCCCTGCGCCCCGGTGTAGTTGGCGAGGAGGACGGCGACGCCGATGGAGGGTGGGTCACCCACCGCGCCGTCGTTAGCGACGAGCGGCTCCGAGTTGGCCGGCTTGGCCTGTACGACCTTGGTGGCGATGGATATGACCTCGGAGGCGTTGTAAGATGAGTTTAGGGAGGTGGGCGGGGGGAGGGACCAGGAGGAGAAGACGGCGAGGGTGGGGTAGTCGAGCTCGGTCAGCGCCTCCGCCTCGGCGCCGAGCTCCCATCTGTGGGGTGTTAGTGACTATCGTGCTCTGCGGAAAGAGGGAACGCACGCCTGGGACGCGGTCTGCTCGAGGTTGGCCCTTACGGACGCTATCTGCGCATCGGTGAGGTTCTGTGCGAGGGAGCGGGCGAGGAGGAGGGAGAGGGCGAAGAGGGCGAGGGGGAGATGCATCCCCTTTTTTTGCTATAGGCGAGGCAGGGCTGTATGTATATGCAGGGATGTCGAGGATGGTACTACAGTAATCTAGTAAGTAAAGCAGAGGATGTATGCGCGTGGAGTGTCGGGGGGGGGAAAGGGGAGCACCCAACACGGATGGTCGAGGCTATAAGATAAACGGCTAGGGACGCGCAGAGGAACTTGAGCGGAAAGCGGAGCAGCACCGGGGGATGATGGCAACATGACGCCCCCCGGCAAATTACTGGACACACCGTCCTGCCCTGATGGGACCGATGCCCAAACTGTATGCCGCTACGCCAAAGCGCATGGGGTGGCTTAGGGGGCGATGACGTGCCTTCCTGAGCACGGGTGACGAAGCGCGCGTCCACGTGCGCAACTGGAATGTTGCGGTGCTCTTAGGAGCCGGGCCTGGCCGCGCCGGGTATCGGAGGCGCGGCGTTCCCTCTTTCGCCCATCGGCCCTGTGGAACGTGTCGTCCGGAACACAATCCACAACCCACAAGCTTTCCCAGAAAATCCTCAAACACCAAGTCAAGCAGCCATCGACTCCCGATCGTCTGATTAACTTAAGCGTACGCACCGAGATAAGGGTCCTGACGGTACCTTGTTTGGCCGAGCCGCTTGGTTTGTCGGAGCCGTGGCTTGCCCGTGTGAGCTGAATGCGCAGCGCGCTTGGTAGACGGGCCGCTTTGCTTGGGACCAGCGACGGCGACGGGACGCTGGATGGCATTCCTTTCGTCACCACTGTACAATCCCTCACAAGCCCCTCCCTAAAGCGTATACCTAAAATCCGGGCTCTTATCCCCCATCTCCCTAATCTCATGCTCGCTAAACCTCGCCCCCATCCCCCCAGCCGCGTCAATCTCGCGCATCATCTCCTCCCTCCTCCGATTAATATTCCAATAGATGCCAACCACCAGGGGCGTGGTCACAAGCCCAATGCCGACGAACATGAGCTCCAGCCCGTGGCCCAGGATATAGCGCGGCGCGTCCTGCGTCCGGAAGATGTTGGAGGCGATCGCCCCCGCGAAATTGCCGATCCCTATATGCAACGCCATGCCCGCGCCTGCACGACCCCGTCAGCCCTCGGACACGAGCACAGCAAAAGGAAAAGTGGGACGCACCGCGCTTATACTGTCCGGAGAGGTTGTTCCCCAGCCACGCGACCACCCCAGGGAAGGGCGCATAGCTCCCCGCGACGCACAGGAAGGTGCCAAAGTACTTCGCCCCGCTCGACGCGTTGCTGATGTTGATCCCGAACCCAATCGCGAGCATCAGGTGCCCGGCGAGGATGAAGGGCGAGCGGATCCCGTGCCGGTCTGAGAAGTAGGCAAAGGTCAGGAGCACGATCGCTAGCGCGGGGTTAGCATATTCCGTGAGAGGTAGGAGGAGGACGCACTGGCGAAAATGTAGCACGGTACGGTCAGTAGCTGGCTAATCGCCGTCGAGTAGCCAAAGTCGTTTATAATCGACGGGAGGAACAGGGAGATGCCATACACTGCCAGTTTTAGTTTAGTATTTCCATCCGCGGATTGGGTGCAGACGTACGAGGAGCGACGATCGACATGTAGACGAGGATGTGCAAATAAAGCTGGCCGTTGTCAGCTCCCGCTGCCACTGGAGGTTCACCTACCCACCTGCCAGTCCGTAAAACATGCGAGTAAGTAGCGCATCTCGAAATGCTCCTGCTCTCCCACGCTCGAGTTGTCGAACTCTGTGCATCGTGTCAGCTGCCCTCCACACAGGGAGAAGCGCTAGACGCACTCTTCTTCCACACAGCGTACGCACGCTCTTCTGGGGTTAGGAACTTTGCCGTAACGGGAAAGTCGACAAGGGTAAAGAATGCCAATATCCCGACCAGAATCGTCGCGAGCCCTTCCAGAATCTGCCGAGTGTCAGCATAACATCTCCGATACCCCAAGGCGAAAACCGCACAAAGATCCAGCTCCAGCCGTCCTTCCCGCCCACACCCGCCATGTGTTCGATCCCAAACGCCAGCAGGCCGCTAAACGCACCCGCAATCGTCGCCGCCCCAAAGAAAAGCCCAATCCGGTACTGCACCATATACCGCGGGTACCACAGGGTGAGGTAGTACACCACTCCCGGGAAGAGGCCGGATTCGGCCACACCAAGGCAGACGCGGACCGCTACCAGTTGCGGGTAGGTGGAGACGAGCCCCATGCACGTCATCACTATCC